TTGACACCCGCAACGGAGGAGTTACGGGTGCGTTGCCGACCTTTTAGGGATTAGGGATTTGGAGATTTAGGGATTGAGGAGGGATTGGGGGAGGGGAAGGATTGGGCTTCCAGTAACCTCACTCACACGGCGAAACACAAAGCTGAGGTTGTTTCACGCCGGTTTTCTGTGAGGCCGTGGTATCACTCCGGTCGAGCTGACCCATTCGTGCCGAAGCATGGCTCTCCCACACTTGGACACTTGCTATCCTGTGGAGCAGGACCAGAATGTCCCCAAGCATCTTTATCCACAATATAATCATTCAGTGTGTAATATGCGTTTTTTGTTTTACGTTAGTTAAACAAATTCGTAATTTTGAAGACCAACCTTCAACAAATGCTTTTCTGAAATAGTCTCACTACACTAAAAATTAACTAAACTATTATTACCAATATGTAATTTGTATTGTATTTATTTGTAATTGTATTGAATGTGTATATGTTATAAATTGAATTATTTTGTAACTTATAAATTCAATAACTGATGAGTTTTTGTTGGTTGCATTTATCACACGCCAGCTCGGTACTCGCTACGATGAATCCGCTCCGGAAGTGACCGAGGTAGATTTGAGAGTGGCGGTGCGCCGGCTGAGCGGCAAGAATACCGCCCCAGGACCTGACGAGCTGCATGCCAAGGTTTGGGTCCTGGCGTCGGAGGCTCTCAGGCCTCGACTACTTGGTCTGTTCAGCGCATGTTTGGAGAGGGGCCAGTTTCCGCTGTCGTGGAAGACGGGTAAACTGGTCCTCGTGAAGAAGCCGGGCGTCCTGCGGACTCTCCGTCCGCGTACCGGCCCATCGTGCTGCTCGACGAGGTGGAAAAACTGTTCGAGAGGATAATCTCAGACCGCCTCGTCGGGCACCTGTCTGGAAGGGGGCCGGATTTAGCGGACGGCCAGTTCGGCTTCCGCAAAGGGCGCTCCACGGTGGACGCCATCATGCGCGCAAGGGACCTCACGACAGGGACTGCGTTGGCCAGGAGGCGAGTCGTCGTGGCGGTGTCTCTGGACATCGCCAACGCCTTCAACTCGTTGCCCTGGAGCTGCATTTTGGAGGCACTCCGGTATCACCGGGTGCCTGCCTATCTCCGTCGTGTAGTCGAGGCTTACTTGACGGACAGATGCGTCATCTACCCCGGTCACCGGGGCGTGTGGAATCGGCGAGAGGTGTCGCGCGGTGTTCCACAGGGATCGGTCCTGGGACCTCTCCTGTGGAACATCGGGTACGGTTGGGTGCTACGCACCGACCTCCCGAGCGGCGTCAGCATTGTCTGTTATGCTGACGACACGCTGGTGCTGGCGAACGGGAGGTCGCATCAGGCGGCGGCCGACCTGATGTCACAAGCGGTTGCGACAGTCGTTGCAAGGATCCGGCAGTTGAGACTCGCTGTGGCGCTCCACAAGTCCAAGGCCATGTGTTTCTATGGCCGTCGGAGCGCGCCACCTCCAGGTGGGTCCCAAATAACGGCAGGAGGAGTTACCATCGGCGTCGAGTCGGCGATGAAGTACCTGGGTCTCGTCCTCGACAGCCGATGGAACTTCACGGAGCATTTTCGTCGTTTGGCCCCTAAATTGGAACGGTCTTGGGCCGCGCTCAAGTGGCTCCTTCCCAACCTCGGGGGGCCAAACGCCTCCTGCCGGAGGTTGTATATGGGGATTGTGCGATCCAGGGCCCTCTACGGTGCCCCTGTGTGGGCGCCGGACTTGAAGCGGCGGCCGGCTCGTGCGCTGGTCGCGTCCCAGGGGGTCATGGCTATCCGAGTAATCCGCGGGTATCGCACGATCTCCGGGGAGGCGGCGAACCTTCTTGCCGGATCACCGCCGTGGGATCTAGAAGCGAAGGCGCTCGCGTTTGCGCGCGTTTGCGCGCAGACGCGCGACGCCGGGGCGAAGATCCTCTGCCGCGCCAAATTAGTGCGTGGCGGAATGAACTCCGGCGAGATCTCATGGCAGAGTGAAAACAACGACTGTCGCAACCGAGGGCCGGGCACGCTACCATAGCAGCGGTAAGACCCCTCTTTGAGGAGTGGCTTGAGAGACGCCACGGCGTCCTCACCTTCCGTCTGACGCAGGTGCTTACCGGGCACGGCAGCTTCGGTAGGTTCCTGTTTCGGATTCAGCGGGAGGAAACGCCCGAGTGTCGTCATTGTTAGGACCACCTAGAGGATACGGTGGAGCATACGGTAGCGGTATGCCCTGCCTGGGCTGAGCACCGCCGTATCCTCAGGGAAGTGATCGGCGGCGGCGACCTCTCGCGCCCGGCCTTAGTCGAGGCCATGGTGCGGAGTGAGAGGAACTGGGATGCCGTCTCCTCCTTTTGTGAAGCAGTCATGCTCGCAAAGAGAGAGGCGGCCCGCGTGAGGGAGCAATCCACCTCCTCACGCCCCAGCAGCCGACACTACGGGCGTCGGGGATCGAGGGACGATCTCCGGCCACGGGCACGGGCCTGCGGTCGGCGAGTAAGGGCAGCTCGCCGCCCGACCAGAACCAGGCCCGAGCGTACGGCGCGTAGCGTTCCGCGCGCGCCTCAAAGAGCCATTAGACCACCACAGACGTAAAGGGCTGATGTTCAGCCGGGGTTGCGGGGTAAGCGCAATGAGGTACCGCGACCTCGGCACAGAGCAGGAGAAGGAACAGGGGGGTTTTTAGTCAGTAAGAGTCTGACACTCCCTCCTGCCCGGCCCTGGGCGGGAGAACGGGAGAAGTCATTTGATGATTTCCCCTCACAAAAAAAAAAGCTCGGTACTCGCTAGTATCTCCCTGAATCAAAACCTTTCGCCGTTTTTAATAAAGCAATTAGGTATGTATAATTAATGTAGTTTATCATTACACACCTAAAACTTCAACTTCAACAATAATCATTTTATCTATTAAAAAACCCAATCTATCAAGTAGGTTTATACATAAGATACAGATAGCGGAAAGCACATTTTTTTTTAATAATATTTACGTTGCCCCACACTAGGTTTTTCTCCTGTATCGTGAGTGCGGTTACAGACATACAATATCACATACACATGACACCCAGACCCGGAACAACAATTTGTAGATCAAACAAAGAGCTGTTCCGAGCGGGAATCGAACCCGCGACACGTTGCACGGCAGCCAGTTGTTGCGATACTGTTAGCCATACTGTTGTGATGATAGTGATGGTAAACTGAAGAGAGGTACATGCCTAGTAACAAGAGTATTAAACATTAGGGACAACATGCGGGCCACGCTAGCGGAGGATTTACCCTCAATAGTTATCTGTCAGCAGTCAATTTCTTGAGCCTTATGCGTGTGATAATCCTTTTATGTATATTGACGTTTTCTGCTCTTCATTCCATCACAACGACGAGAATATTTCTGTGAAACATGCGGGTTAAAAGGTACCTATATAAATACTTCGTACATATTCCCATTTACAATGCAAAAAGTCTTACTAACGAAATAACACATTGTTGTTCCGTATCTTGTCAACATTCAGAAAGAAAGTAAGGAAACTGAACAATGAAATCATTCCACGGTTCGGTAAATTGTCGAAAAGGCTGGTTTTCTTTATTATGCTAGTACATTTATTAATGTTATGGTAATGTCAGGCGCCTCGTTACACTGGAGATCTATCACACTCAAGGTGTGTAGTACATGTCAAATGTTGTATGTTGAGTATGGACAAAATTTGACTGCTTGGTTGGCGCAGTGGCTGGGCAACTGGTTGCTTTGCAACGGGTCGTGGGTTAGATTCGGGTATGGGTGGTTTGTGTATGTTAATTGTATTATGTGTATAAACGTACCGACAACGTTTTTAAATAAAAAAAAAATATCAATCATTTCTCACAGATATCGGACTATGCAATTCAAGTATTGTGTAAAATTGATATGAAACAACATGTAAAAATACTTGCTCTTCTGGTTATAAGTCGTCAAACGAGCAGACGGATTACCTAAGTCCCGGGTGTCACCCGCAATACCAAAGGAGTTACGAGTGCGCTGCCGGGCTTTTGGGGATAGGGGTTGCGAATATAAGGATCGGGAAGGGATAGGGGAAGGGGAGGGATTGAGCCTCCGGTAACCTTACTCACACGGCGAAACACAACGCTGTGGATTTTTTAACGCCGGTTTTCTTTTTCTGTTTTCGTAAATCACTCCGGTCGAGACGACCCATTCGTGCCGAAGCTGGGCTAACCCACACTTAAAAACAAAAACAAATGTATTCCTTGTTTGTAGTATCTTAGTCTGTATCCATACTAAACGCACACGTAACTTCATCATTTATTTTAGTTGAATGTAATGAGAATGACACATACTCTCAAGGTGTTGCATTAAACACATTGATTAACTAGGTAAATCAAAAAACATCCATCAACTTTTAATGGCTTCTAAACAGTCGCCGGTCCTTTGATTTAAACTAACGAGATTTTTGCGGGAAATTAGTTATTTATCAATTATTTTAGATATCCCGGCCTGGAGCAGGAAAATGTATGGGGTGGTTTTTAGTCAGTAAAAGTCTGTTACTCGCTTTCGCTCCACCCAAGCTGGGAGATATTATATCATTTGGCGATTGTACGGCTTAAAAAAAGATAAATTGATATTATTTACAATATACGGTAGTTTTAATCGAATACTTTGGGTATTCGTTAGTGCTAAGCATAAAAATATATTAAGTTGCTATTTAAAGCAACGGCTAATGTTAGTAAAAATTTATAACTTTTATATTTCTTACACACAAAAGATCCAAAATGACAATCCAATTGGTATAAATAACTGTGTGAGTATTCTGAATATTCGAATTGTTTAGATAATTTGATTTCCATTAATATCTGATTGTTTAGCATGCGTACGGGCACGTTTGTAAGTGAGCGTAGCGGCGGCGCGAAGATGTATCGCAGGGATGCGGCAGTGCCGACGTCGGGTCGCACGAAGTTCATAGGTAAACACGCCAGTATATAAACCCCATGCAGTGTCAACGAGCAAACATTTGTGCCTGTGATTGCATCCAGTCCTTTTGTATTGAAGTTCCCTGCCCTTCATTCTATCACAATGGTGAGGATATTCATCAATTATTAAAATATCGGACCTCTTTTGAATTCAGTCTTATCGTGTCGTGACTATCCTGCACGTAGAAAGACTTTCAGTTAATCGAGGTTTCATTTGTGTAAAACTTCTTGTTAGCTTTCTTTAACAAACTACCTTACTTCCACGATCGACAAGAATCTTCAAGTTTACCTAATTTTGTAATAAGTTGGTTAGAATAGAAAATACCATCTTTGCCATTTAAATCGTTGACTTAAAAGGCTTTGCCGATACAAGGACTACTCTTATTAATTTTTTGGTTGAACCGACCGACCTTTCTCTATGTACCATTAGGTATTTGCAGTTAAAATAGTACATGGGTTTACGTAACTTTATTTTTTTTAAATCATCTTTCTTTTGCGACTTTTACGTAATTAAAGCTATATCATGACAATATTATTGTTATGTTTATTATGTATCTACTTTACTTTAGCAACATATGAAAGTTATTTTTTCTTTTACGTATCTCTGTAATACAAGGTTGTTGCAACTTATTCATAAAAAGATCGGTAATGTACATATAACAAAGAGTCGAGTCATAAATTACAAATTGTGTAAAGATGGATAGTGAATCCTTTCCTTAATAAAATTCCTTCCAATAATAAAAGTTTACATAAAAAGCACGTTGTAATCTTTCAATTGAGGATGTGTTGTCTGCACGATTTTTTTACACATTTTACTACTGTACTTTTGTTGTACTTTTTAATCTAAATGATTACAAAAGTTAAAGGGTGCTCTCGCTCTTGCTCTTGGCAATTGATCTATCAATTTTACTAATGAATAGTGACGCAATAAATTTGATACTTTTTGTGTGGCATTTATCACAATTTATTTTCATGTAACGATTATTTTTGCTTATTTCAATGAAGAATAAACTTTAATGATAGTGTTTTTTTAAACTATCAAGTGATAACCCTATAAATGCTAACATAAGCCTTAATAAGACAACAGGTGCACAAACCGTTCATTACAAATTCTGGGTTATGAAAGCTTCAGCTTTCTCGTGCACATTACTTTTACTGGGATACAAAGAATTTTAGTATGCAAATTTATAACCGTTACGTTATCTCGGGTTAAAAGTCAACACGTGTTTCATGAACAGGAGTTCACAATGCGGCTTTAGATCGTTGTCGAAACACGGAATCCTTTCTTTCCTCAAACCGACAATTTCTACCTACCTCACTCACGATTTTGAGACGAGCAGCTTCCTATGTGTTCAGTTTCCTTTGCACAATATCAATCGTAAAATATTATGTAGTCATTTTCCAACAAAGGACTTTTGTAACTGGCGATGGAAACGTATTGCCTTGTGTGGTGGTTAGTGCGTGCAATATGTGCTAGGCGTGTGAACCACACTATTAAGTTTTGGAGGATACAGTGCGTACTTGTATTGTAAAATTTTATAAAATACTTTTGCCCGCGAATCCGTTCGCGTGGAATAGTGACTTTCTGCAGATTAATAAAAACCGCTTTGTGTGAAATTTGGTACAGATATATTTTGGAACTCGAGAAAGGGCAGGGTAGTTTCTATCCCAATAATACTGCGGGAATAGGAAATTACCAAAAACCCGCGAGATCGGGTACTATGTAGGTAAAATAAAAAATTTGCAGGAAGTCACTATTCCACGTGAACGAAGTCGCGGGGAAAAGCAAGTATGGTAATAATATATACGTAAATCTTTCACAAGTTGTTTGAATCTCAGGAGGGAAACCTACACTAACTACATTAACAATAAAAAGCTCACGCTTCCGACACCAAGGACTCGAAGCCGACAAACAACTAAAACATTAACTAATCTATTAACAGCCGATTGGATGAACATAAATTGCAATTTATCATCAATTGAGTTGACCATAAAACATACAGTATTACAACATATTGCACTATCGTCCATTACATATTGCCTACATTAATTGCAAAACGGAAATATCCGCGGAAATTTAAATAGATGGGGTTTCTTGTGATATGAGGAAAGGTTGGTCATTACTACATTCATCTTAGTGATAAAGAGATCAATAATAATGTATTCTATATATAGCTTTGTGATACGTTGGACGTCAATTGCAAAGCTCAGTCGCAAAGGTTTCCGACACAGAATGCAACTTGCAACCTACAAATACGTTTGTATTGTGATTGCAATGAACAAGCGAAACTGATTGTGTGATAGCTCTTTGTAAAATAATTACCACTTTTGTCCATTACAAAAGAAATCTTTTTAAGAAAGAACTAAATTTGGTTATGTACATTTTACTAATTATGAGTTTAAAGACTAATCTCGTCTTGAGAAAAAGAATTGACTAAGATTCAAGGAATGATAATAACAAAGTAATAAAATATGATGTAACTGTTGCATTATTTAGTTATCAGATTATTAGATATCGGCATAAAAGAGTTGATTTATGGGTATATAGAAGATAGCTTCAAAGAAGTAATTATGTGCTTTTTAAATCATAAGCGTGCCATATTTTGGGCTTATTATTATACTACTAGTTACGAAAATAAAAGTTTACATCTACTTTCAGTGGCAAACAAAATTCATTTGTGCTTAAGATAATGTTTAATATGAACTAATTTTCATTCTAATTAAAAATAATTTAAATTGATTAGAACTAATAATTACCTATTATCATATTTTTTAAGATATAAACATTAATTTGCTTTTCATTATAGTTTCAATCTTAGTTCATTAAACTATAACTACACTAATAAAAAAAATCTATGACAAATTAAATTTTCTACAAGAAAAGTAACTGATGATGTAAGTCTGCTGCATCTGTGTACGGCATAAAATTGACGATGCATATAAATCACTGAATGCGGTTAGCGGTTTCAACACATGATTTCTATAAACTCACCTATTTCCATTGTTAAAGAAGAAAGCTTTATTTATGTACATGTGTGCTTTCCGGCACTTGATAGATATATTGCATATAATGTAATTTTATGCTTGGTTAATAACATATGACGCTAATAAAAAAGTATATTTGTTGTCCTATACATTATATTAGATATACCTACTCAGAATTTGAGTAGATATTACTTATGTACACAGTACGACGTCCATGTTTGCTACCACTGCAACTAATAAGCAACAACCTAAACAAAAAATTCCCTACATACATTGTACTAGAAAATTTCATTCTTAGGTGCATTTTTATTAATTTGATTGCGATGAAATTTTATTTGTTTTTTAACATTAATGGATTTTATTTGTTTTTTAAAGATGATTTTTTTTTTAACATTGACGGTTTCGAGACCCTTACATCAATTTAATTAGGTTTTATTAGAATATATAATAAAAAAATACCGAGTAAATTTCCGTGACCCAGGTACTTACAAGTTAAACACCTATAATTATTTTATTACACACATGCGAAAGAATATTGACATATACTAACTATTACTATAAATACTTTATTATATACACATTAACGAGGAAATAATTACGGTTGTTCACAAGAAGACTTAAAATTTTATGAATGCCAAGCGCCTGCCTGTTTAAGATCCGAGTAAATAAAAATATCTTAAAAACGAATGCTATTCGCCAGTGTCAGGCGATTGTCATTTCTAGATACCTATATCAGTAGCTTTCCGCAATGGAATAACTGCTGTACCCAATAAATTTATTTACTTTTAATAAATATGTAAAAAAGATAATTATTATAAATCTAAATTTTCTTCAAAATGTAGTTTCTATCTATACTCTATGCTAATATTATAAAGGGGTAAAATTTGTGTTTGTAAGTTTGTATGTAGGGGGTAATCTTAGAAACCGCTGGTCGGATTGCCAAAATTCTTTCACTGATATATAGGTACCATGTTGCTGAGTGCTATAGGGTATATAATATCACGCTACGATTAAATGGAGCCGAGTAGCGAGTGAAACTGCGCAAGGGTAGCTAGTAACAGATAAAGCAAGAAGAGGTGGAAACGGCATTATCTTATTTATTTTCCTACATTTTCAAAAAAAGAATTCCTTTTTTTGTTTATACTGTAGAATGACGACAGAAAATGTTGTTCTTAAACATCATGGCAAAACAAACGTGTCACACCTGTCTCTAAAATTAAAATTACGACCTTTGTAAAATCTCATACAACAAAGAGCCCTTCGTTGCCTCCACTTATGTTTAAGACTTGAAGTTGTTTACACACCTTCTGTCGAGTATTCAGTACATTAAGAAAGTATTTTACTTATAGCTTTTTTTCATTTCTGCCTTCACATATATTTCACCCAGATACGATACACCACTTTCTTGATCATTGATAAAGTTATTTCGCAGCCATCGAACTCGTGTCACTAAGACAACCATACAAACTTTAAAATTACGATTTTTAGGGTCGTGATTAAAAAAGAATTTCTATTACCGTTCGTTGGTAGGAAATCTTAATTTTAAAACTGTATTTCTCTGCTTGACATTAATTGTAAAAAAAAATATTTGTATGCCGTAAAATTAGAATATATTATATTATATTTATGCATTAAAATAATTATAAATTAACTTTTATTTTTGAAAGAAATTCTATTTTATTTGTTTTTTTTTACAGATCTCTTTATTCTTTATACTCCTCGTAGCAGTGACGTATGCAACGGCACAAGCGCAGTCTACCGCTCCTATCCCAATAATTCGCTTCGAATCAGATGGACCAAACCCTGATGGCTCATATAAATGGCTGTAAGTTTTTTTTTTACTTTCTTTTTCTTGCTAAATTTCTTTGAATTATGTCTTTGCCTGCATAACAAAATACATGAACAAGTCTTTCCCTACAAAATTAAAAGGTTATTCTTACTTATATTTACAATACCTACATATTAAAAATGCTTGTATTAATTTTTCAACAGTTTTATCCTCAAAAATTTTATTCCTAGTAGTTACTCTAGTTTTAGTGTATTAAACGTACATTTTCTATACTTTGTCCGAAACGTTGATTCATAAACAAAACTAATGTACATTGACAACTTGACAACGATTTTGTAACCGATGTTTAATGGCGATAATGATTTTACATATAAAGATTAATATTCAATTACGAGTCATACGAAGCTGCTGCTCCCTGTATTTCTTTAATATTGAAAATAATAGGTAATTCTGCCGGTGCAGTATGCAACATCAAAAACATAATGCACGTCAACACATCAACTTCTGGATAAAATATAAAATCTTTAAAGATAAAGATCGTACCTTCACAGATTGCAATGTAAGATACTATGTAGGTACTTGTCAGCACTTGTTGGTGATGACATTATTTTTGATGAGTAAGAATTTTATTTTAAGAGGAAGTTTTATTTAAGATACAGATTATGTAGAAATTATACGTAGGTGTATATTATCATAATAGTTCATATTGTCACGTCTATCTGTCAAGAAGCCAAGTTAGATCTTTTCATTTTTAAATAACCTTATTATGAACTTAAAAGTACAAAAAGGTTTATAATTAGCTGGGATTGCGGGTCAAGTGCAATGATGTACCGCGGCCTTGATTTCGATCATCGATCCTCGATCCCGGCAGGAGAGGGGGCTGACAATTCCAACAGTTTTCTTATTAAAATTATTTTCTAAAATATCAAGTCCAGTTTTTTTCTCGTTTCAGATATGAGACAGGTAATGAAATAAACGCTGAAGAGTCAGGCTACGTGAAGAACTTCGGCCAAGGTGAAGGCAAAGAGATACAGACAGCGGAAGGCAAGTTCAGTTATAAAGCTCCCGACGGATCGCTCATTGCACTCACGTACATTGCAGACGAAAACGGATTTCAACCACAGGTAATAAAATTTATGCTAATTCTCAGTTTCTAAGAAATAGACGGGCACAATTTTCCTCCTTTTCAATCTGATAAAGAAGGCTCGAGATACAGAACTAAGAATGATAAAAAATATTCAACCAGCCTGAAACCACATAACCTATTTCATGTTAAACGTGTTGCAAGAATACCTACGCGAATAAAAAACCTTGTGACAGAAGATAGGTACTTATAATTCAAAGGCTCTCAGCGTATTAACAAATTAAACACTGCGGTTACGCCTTTAACCATAAAAGGATGCGACAAGATTGAAGCATCGTTTCAACTATTGTGTAATAATGCATAAAATAAAATACGTCTTAACACCTGCTAAATTGCAATTATATTTATGCTGCGGAGTGCCGCTGGCAAATAGAAGCCTTGACATCTTTCCACAGGGATCACAATTCGTGGTAAGATCCTCTGCACATGATTCACCGGATCCGGTCTAGCGAATATTTAAGGTAGTTTAACCACCTCGATAAAATCAATCCTCAATTACATTTTGACAGTATGACGCAAAATATATTAAGCCCGCTTTAATTAATTCAGGTTTTCGTATACAAATGTAAAATATGCAATTTGCACAGTCGTGTCATTTAGCGCTTTGTTCTAACTAACCTCGAACGGCACATCACTCCAAATCTAGACAATACGAGTGAAATCAGCATTGACCCACAAAAGAGAATCCAGTAATTTTATTTACACTATATTTCATTCTATAACATAAACATTCGTTTCGCAAGGAGACAGTAATTGTCCATTTGAGATTATGTAATAAACGCCTACATAGATGCCCAGCCAGTCACACATCTTAGTTTCTGTAACGTATAGATCAATTATATTTATGTATTCAAAATGCCAGCCTTACCATAAAGGTCTTCATTATTTTATGCTTTCGATGATGGAATACCTAGTTAAAGTTTTTAGAGGCTCGTATATTAGATCCTGTTGTAATTTTATTAGCTGGCCGTCCTTGTACTTTTTTCACGTAGTTTCGCGAACCCGGTACGGAAAACGTTAAAGTGAATAGGTTATCGGTACTTTTGCCATCAAAATGAGATTTACAAAAGTTTGCATTTAATATGAGGAGTAATGTTGAGATGAAATAAGGAGTGGTCCGTGTGAAGGCATAGGTTGTAAATACTCGTAAAACGTCTCGAGCCTGAATCATCATTGCGTAAAACGTTAGGAAGATGTCTGCGGTGCGCCCGCGCTGCAGTGGCGTGGATGTGGGTCTTAGTTAGCCAACGTGTGTGCAAATGTCGCTGTAAAATATCAAACGTCGACCCGTGACCCGCTCTTGGGAAATGGGAAGCCTTCTGGTGTCGACATTGAATATCGACAACTGACTTCTGTTGACTGATAAGGTGACTCATTAGTGATCTACTATCGTCGCCTGCGCAATGTTTGACAAACTCTTAGTGACGGTTATACAACTTTAAGCACATGCTCATTGAAATGGTTTATCATTGAATTATGTTTGCCAATTGTCCACGTCAGTGTGAAAAATGACAACGCATCTTCATACTTAAAGTAATCATCTGTTATACATACATTTCTTCAGAATAATAATGCAGGAATAATACTTAAAATACGAGTTTAAATGTCAATTTTATTAATTAATAGGTTTCTTCCATATTTGTGAAGCTTTCTCAACTATGAATAAAATTTATTGGCTGTGATGACGAAAGTAATCTACTTCAAATCAACTGTTACGTCAAAATGGCCGCGTGAATTATGTATGGAAATAAACGTGATATTTATACCTAAATGAAGTTAAATCATGTCAATGTTAATGGTACAATTTCAAACGGAGAATCAGTTAATCCGGTATTATCATGAACATAAAATTCATTCATTAAACTCGTAAAGGACTTAACTGTTAATAAATATTTGGACAGTTAGACAACTTGTATTTAGTTGAATATTATTGAAGACTTTTACAAATCTTATAGATAAAAATGAATTTCTGTTCGTTAATCTCGTTAAAAAGCTGTACCGACATGGCTTATTGTGGTCTTGAAATATTTCTGGATATACAGGAAAGGTTTAAAAGGTCAGAAAAGCTAAATAAAAAACCAGGCGGTACGAATTACGAGTTAGCCGGGTCTGCTAGTTTATCTATATAATATCTTAGATACATGAGTAATTGGATTATTTCTTTACTGACAGTAAAACATATTTTTTTTTTGCCAAAAATATACAACTCGTTAATTGACACTAATTTATCACAAACTAAACAATATTAGTAAGTAATTTCTTTGACAAACGATCTGTAAAGATAAATGGATAAAGATTCAAAGTTAGACAACCATTTTGTAACTCTTGATGAACTTTAGCCATATACTTATTTTTACGAGATTTCTGCGGTATGAGGCTAATCCAAGGAAATTGGCTTACAAACTAAGGTTTATCGAAACATGTAGGTAGGTATGGAGGTACTTAATTGAATTTGACTATTTAGAATTCAATGACCTTCATATTGTGAGAAATTTATTAACAGGTTTTGTAAGTTAATCAATTATAGATAGCGGTAAAAGACTAAAGTAGATCCTACCAATATGATACATCCTTTTATAAATGTTATATGGGTGAATATTTCCGGGGTATAAGTATTGTTTATATAATACGCATGTATTAATTATTTTCTTAATAATTTACTTCTTTGTTATGTTCAAACTAGCTTCTGCCCGTGGATAGCCTATGTCCTATTCCGGAGTGTATCCTATGCCTGTGCCAAATTTTATCAAGATCCATCCAGCCGTTTTGGCGTGATTGAGTAACAAACATCATAACATCCAAACATCGTAACTTTCGCATTTATAATATTAGTAAGATAAATAAATACATATATTTTGAAATTAGAGCATCTCACATTATGTTAAAATGTGATAAACGAAAGTAAAAAAAATAATATTAAAATAAGCGAACACAAGTGTGTCTGTCCAAATCAATAATGATATTATTCTCATATAAATATATGATAAAATGTTTTTTAAAATGTAAATAGGTACAGATAAGTGTATTAATTTTGTTATAAATGAGTTTGTAGACAATTAATCAATAGCTTTACATAACAAGCAATTTCTCTTAAAATTTGTTATTTAAAAAAGCTCCAGTGTATTACGTTTTGTAATGTGTTTTCCATCGTTGAGAATCTTATGGAATTATTTCTTTACTTTATTCAAAAATGTTAACTTTTTTTGTGATTTTAGGGCCAACTGCTAGTCTTGATCGGGTTAAACAATAAAATAAATGATTGTATGTGTGTATTACGATCCATTAGCGTGTTAACCCCTGACCAGCAATTTTGTTAGGTTACCTAAATACAAACAAAATAAGGTTCATTTACGTTTAAATTCAGGAATTTCATTCAAGACAGCAATCCTATTAATTTGTTATAAAAATCTATTCCTTGATGTTTCTATCAAAATTATTTTCAAGACTTCCAATCCTGTTTTTTATGTTACCACATGTTTCTTTGTTATCGATCATTGCTTAGATATTTCATCCTTTGAATACCTACTAATGGAAAAGAAAGGACTCATAATGGCATCCAAGAAAAAAATACCTATGCGAAAAACCTGTGAAACATCTGAAGGGAATTCCTAATCTTTCTTTCTTATTTTCCAGGGAGATCATCTGCCGACTCCTCCACCAATCCCGCCAGCGATTGCGAAAGCCCTGGAGTACTTGAAGACCCTTCCACCTGGAAATAACGAAGGTGCTTCATCGAACATCAAGCCTCAATACCAAGCGGCACCGTTCAAGGCCAGGCCAAGATTTTAATAGTAATGTAACCAAGCGTCTGATGTTATGTATACGATACTGTAACATTTAAAATGAGCGACTTTTGCACATAATCGTAATTAATATGTTAATATAGTAAATGTAACGTAATATTAAGAGCGAAATAAAATGAAATATCGTTTTTAGACAAGCAACCGGCGAAAAATATTGCACATTGTTTTTTGGAAAGAGATAGGTTGGTTAGCAGCTCGACTAGAGTTCACCATGGTATTCGCAACAACTTGGTTGATTGTCTTTTTCCAATTATCGATATACAATATTATTTGCCGCGAACTCAAGGAGAATGGAATTAAAATTGTGTATTTAAAAATTCTCGATCGAATGTTCCTTATTTACAGAAAATGTCGATCGTTGGTCTGTAATGGGGGTTCAACTTATGCGTGTATTATGTGACAAAATTTCAATTTGTTACGAAATTAAAATTGCCTGAATAGTATTCGCCTGTATTTGTTTATGTTTACAAGTAGATTTAAGTAAATTTTCTTCCAGCAAAGTCATTTTATAGTTTTAAGAATGAATACATTGTACTCGAAATGATTCAATAAAGATATTGAACGTATCGCCAGTCTTTTATGAGTTGTGTGTGAACTATGATTTATTTTTTGAAATTAAAAATCGGATTATTTTATATAACTATTTATTGTCCTTTCCACTTCATTGAGTCGTTATTTTCAATAAACTTGGAACTTTCCAGCTTCCAGAGCAACATCTTTATTTTCTTTATCTTTTTAGTCACTGTACAGCTGTACACTATATACCACTACAACCTTAACTACGACAATTATGTTTATTTTTCAAATTTTAATTAGTTCATTACATCATGTTTGCTAATTATGACTTCGCGTAGATATTTAGTTTTTTTTATGTGATAGGTCGGCAAACAAGCAGGCGGATTACCTGATGGTAAGCAATCGGCGCCGCCTATGGACACCCGCAAAGGAGTTACAAGTGCTGGCCTTTTCGGGATAAGGGTTTCAGAAATTTAGGGATTGGGAAGGGTTGGGGAAACACACGACGAAATACATTAAAGTTTCATGCTGACTCATTCATGCTCTCGCATGGCAAGCATTGCTCTCCGACACAAATTAGTTAAAACGAACTTCACCTCTTTAGAATCACTATACCTGAAGGTTCAAGTACACAGATCATCATTTTAATATTCATTAACAGTTCTCATTCGATAATTTATATTTATGAATCAAAATGCATGAATAACTTATTTTTAAATTTTAAAAACTCGATGGATGATTATGGTGTGACTTCTAATTTCGACATAACACATAGAATAAGAAGTAATCTTATTGACACATTTGTGTCTATCTTGTTGGCCTTGTTATTGATAAAATTTCTTAACGAGAAATCAAGTTCTGAGGCTATTTACGACTTTTATTTCCCTTAATACCAGAATGACAAGAATAGTGAAAATTATAGATACGAAATATTATGACGAAATGAGACTATAGATCAGTGAATAATGGTTAAGATTAGATAATCGGTAGACTTGCCCTCTCTCAGGGGTTAATAGTATGGGTGTCGTAGAAAAGGTGTGCTGCATATTTTATTTTTTATTTACACAAGTTTTAAGAAAAAAAGTTTGTCTCATTTTAAAACAGTTAGTCTTTGGCTTAAGCTTTTATGAGCATTCTTCCATGTTGATTTTTAGATGGACGGCGGGGTGGTGGTCTCCTACATTTTACATGATAATAAATCAGGTATCCCTCTCCATGTAGCAAGAGCCTTTATTTTCAGGGGAGAAATCATTAAATAGATACTCTTGCCCAGGGTCAGGTGAGCGGGAGTATTAGACTCTTAGTGACTAAAAAGCGTCCTGATCCTTCTCATGCTCTAGACGGAGGCCACGCGGTATCTAGAATAGAATAGAATAAAATAGAATATCATTTATTTCAAAGTATATGGTACATTGAGGTTTTACATTAAATGTTGTTTCACATACACTACCATTGCTGGTGTAGAAATATTTTGCTAATCATGCTTTAAAATGAAAAAAAAGGTAATTATAATAATGTCAAGCAAATTGATAACAAAAATTAAAAAAAAATGTATCAGTAAGTATATGATAGTAATTAGAAGTAACAATATTATTTGCGTCAAAATGGTAAAATATTAATTACTATATAATGTCAAAAGCTAAATACAGTGTCAATACTCATGTCAAAAAACGTATACTCTCACAATACTAAACTAAAATGCTAAACACAATATGAATCAATGTAAAAATACTAAATACAATGTGAAAATATTAAATAAAATGTCAAAACTTTCGATTTAAAAATTCATTAACAGAATAGAATCACATCTCTAGAAGCCAAGTGAACATTCGATTTTTAAACTTACTTATTGGTAACATTTTCAAGTCAGGTGATAATTTATTATAAATTTTAATTGCCATACAATGTACATTATTGCGGTATAAATGTAATCTCTGTCTAGGTGCCTGCAGTTTTCCAGGATTTTTGTTATTTAACCTCACAGAGATCTGTTCATTTAAAGGAAATAAAAGTTCTAACTAAGTACTATTTAGCAACGATAAATAATCATTTTAAAATTTTAAGAAGCATACTTTCAACGTATTTGGCAGTAATCGAACCAACTTAATAATGTAACAAAGAATCTGTATGTGAAACGGATTTACAAGAGTAACCATGTAGTCAGGCTTATTCTTCTCCCTCGTAATCTACACTTTAGAACGAGCCATTGATTGAGCTTGACTAAGAGGACTGACCGACAGACTGACAATTTTTATTTTGAACCCTTGTTTTGAACGCCCGAAAGTGCCTGTAATGTAAGGGTCTGTAAGGGTCTAGTTGCCTTGACTTGATCACGTAAACTCAAAAAATTAAATGTTACTCTTACTTGCTTAAAATACACGTTTCACCTATGATATCTGCAAAGTTTAAATAAGTTCGACTATGTCTAAATATATTTAAACAACTGCTTGTTTTGACCAAATATATTGTTGTTTTTGCTATTTAATTATTTTAATTTTTTGTGTTTTGTCATTTAAATATTTAGATGAATAGCATCCTATGCACATTTTACCAGAGTAATCATCATCATCATCTCATTTAAAATTATCAGAATTGTACTTTGTATATGACAATATTTAAAGTACATAATATTCGAGTATTTGACGGATGTTTTCATGTAACAGATGGTACTTAAAAATAAACACAGCAAGTGACATCTCAAGTACTGTACGTAAATAATGTATGACAGCTGTTAAGCTTATATGATTGAGTATGTTCATTCATTGTGTTTTTAAATGATGCCGCAGATACGCTTATCCTTCATAATTACGTACAAAACGGTAAATAAGATTTATTCCTTAGTATAATTGCAACATTGCACCGTAAGCGCGGGACTGCAGACGGTGAGAAAGGGTAGTTCGCCGCCCGACCAGAGCCAGACCTGAGCGTAAGGCGCGTGGCGTTCCACGACCACCACAGGCGGGGCTCTACAAGAGCGATGTTCAGCCGGAGTTGCGGAGCTAGCGCAATAAGGTACTGCGACTCCAGCCTAGAGCAGGAGAAGGAACGGGGAAGTTTACACAGTAAAAGTCTGAAACTCCCTCTCGTCTTACCCTGGGCAAGAGAAAATATTTGATTATTTACCCTTCATAAAAGAAAAGTATCATCGCAACATTAAGTTTAAGATTAATATTATGATCATCACGTAAGCCGCAAGATGATCAACAGTGGGTTTCTGTAAGACTTCATTCTAAACTTCGAATCTGAATCCGCTGTGAGTAGAGTAAGTACACTAGCGCTACACTTGCGAGTTAAACTAAATTGACCGCGACATTTTGATAGATAAAGTATGAGATGATGTTAAAAGTGGCATTCTACCTATATGTAATTTCCCCGTCACTTCGATGCTCACTTCACACTCGAAAAAGATTCAAAATCAAACCAATTTTATAAAATCAACGTCCAGTAGGTACTGATTATAGTTTTCCCTAACGACTTCTTTCTTATCGCTTAGTTGTAAGCAATCTGAGGAATGACTAACAAGATGCGTGCGTTAAAAACGAATATTGAGATCGTGAGTTCAAATTCACTGAACGTATCGTAATCACCAATTCTTTTGTGAGCCGAATTGTAGGGATTAAATGAATAAACATGCATTAGACATTTCACAACTCACTCAATATTTCTACGAGAACAATTTAGGAGTGATGTAGTGAAAATTACTTCAGAGTTGTTTACTTAGATATCCATTATCTCATCCAAACCTAAAGGTTACATCCATCTTCATATTATATTCATCAATATCCAATAATGGACGATAAAATATCTTGTAAAATTAGCCGGCCGTCACCCAGAACAAGTCCCGATGTATTGCGAAATTAAATTGCTATGATTTCTATCAAACGACTACAATTTTAGCTTAACATTTTCGTTTGTTTTATTGATTGAATTAGACACGCGTGGTAGCAAAAATGATGAAGCATTTACAAGTTTTAATCTACCTCACTGATTCAATATAAGTTTGCGAAAAAAAAACATAAAAATAACGGCTAGCAATATCAATATAAATAAAAATGATAATAATATTATAACAGTTTAAGCAAAAACAATAAAAAGGCCATGACCAAGATAAATCACGAAAATAAAACAACAATTGCAGACGGACGATTTATCAACGGATTTGAAGGACGAGTAGCAACAATGCGGAACATCTTGGCATTTCGGCTGATAACAATCTGTTACAGAGTTGGAATACTGGTCTGTTTTGCTAACTGAATACCAAAAACGTTTTTCTAGTTACATAGGTAGAACAGCTTCTTGCATTTTAAAAGCTAGATCGTAAAATGGTCGCTACAGATTTTGAAACTAGGCCTCAACTTTAGCCTTTCCACAAAAATGCACTAGAATCTTACTCAAGCGTGTGCAAATGTGTTGAAGATGACTGGTCTCAGCATAAAGATTATGATATAATAAGTATTATGTACCCACTAGTTTGTGAATGTCACTATAAAGCATGACGGTTTGCATTATTGATATGGAATGTGGGGGCAAAAGGTATACGAATGCCAACTACTCTTGATTCTTGATTAAGGGAATT